GGGGCGGGCCCCGGCGCCCGGCAGCGCGCGGTGTATACAGCAGGCGCTGGCCAGGGCCGGGTGCATGAATGAATGAGCCGGTCCCCCCGCGGCTCGGCCGGCTCTGACCCCAGCGAGAGCGTCCCAGGCCCCCGGACCCCGCAGCTCTGTGGACGCCCCCCGCGTGCCTTTGTGGCTCAGCTGGGCGCTCCGGGCCACGCCGAGCCCTGGCCCGCGGAGCTCGCGGCCTGGGCGGCTTTAAATTACGGGAGCGAATGATGCCTGGGTGGGGGCATGGCAGCTGAGGCCGAGCGAAGTGGGGGCAGGCGAGAGAAGACCCGGGGTGGCGGCAGGGGGACAGCGTCTGCTTGGCGGGAGCCCGAGGACGGGAGGAGCCGAGCTTCCTCCTAATCCCGCTGACATTTGGGGGTCCAGGCGGAATCTTCTCCCCTCCGGCTCACCAAATCCCATAAGGAGGCCCAGTCGTTGGGACAGCGGTCGCTGAGCCTCTGTTCTGCGCAGGGTCTGCGGTAAGTACCAGCCTGGGAGGCCCTCCTGGAGAGTCCTGAAGGCTGTGAGCTGGAAGGGCGGGAGAGGGGTGTTGTAGGGTGCAGAGGCCTTGAGGCATGGGCCAGCCTCGGGGTCCCGAAGAGGCAGCGAGGCCTGGAGCTTGGGTGTTATGTCGGGGCAGTGGGAGCGCCTGCAGCTGTCCCGCCAGGATGGGGAGGGTCCCATGCTGTCTCAGGTGGGAACCCCCAGCCTGAGCCCTGCCGCTGTGGCTGGTGTGACCAAGAAGCTGCGTCCTCGGTCCGTTTCATTTTAATGACTCCTTTTCTTTCTTTTTAGTTTTGCCATAGGGCGCATGCACTCACTGGAGAGGCAGATAGAGAGAAGAAGTTAGAATTCACTCCCCGGGCGCGTGGCCACGCCACGATCCCTTCTCCATTCTCCTCCTGAGGTTTCGGGCACGCACGCACACGCACCCGACACGCGCCCCACACGTTTTTCCAGCTCCCAGGTCCAGGACTCGCATGCGGTCAGCCTGCAGGATCCAGCCGCCTAAGCCACCATGCTACTAGCTGGCCCTCTTTGTTACTTTTTAAAGTTTATTTTTGTATTCCTGACACAAAGGGGTGAACCCATGCATGAAAGCCTAGGGCAGCACCTCAGCGAGGCCTTATCACGCCGCGGCCCTTCTGTCCAGCCCTCCAACTCCTTAGGCCCTGGGTGCTCACGCACGCCCGGCGTGTTTTCAGGCCGGCCCGGGGGACCGAACCTGTGGGTGACCATATGACTTCCAGCGCTGCAGCTCAGTACCTCAGCAGTGCCACCTGGTCAGGCTGTCTTGTTTTGTTTTTAATAGAAGTTTTTCCTTGGGTGTGTGTGCTCACTGGAGAGACAGACAGACAGAGAAAGTGAGAAATCGCCCCTGGGGGGTTGGCCATGCTGCAACCCCCTTCTCCATTCTCCTCTTGGGATCTTGGGCACGCTTACACACATGGCTGGTGTGAGTTTCAAGCCTCCGGATCTGGGACTTGAACCATGGTTGGCCACGTGGGAGTCCAGCGATGTGACTGCTATGCCATCTGCTGGTGCCAAGGTCAGGGCTAATTTCACCTTAAACAGTGGCCACCACATGGCACGGCATGCCACCAGAGAGCTTCCTGGGGAGGCAGAGAAGAGCGCTGAGCCTGGGGCCGGAGCTGGTTCGAGGCCCCCTGACTAACCCGGTTTGCCTGGTCTCTGCAGAAGCGGGCCCGAGGCATGGGCTCCCAGCCGGGTGGCCGGGGCCCGTAGCGCAGCGTGGGACCGCAGTGTGCACCCACACATGCTTCAGCTCTTTGGGGACCCGAGCAACCCAGGCCACCGGCAGCATGGAGCTATTAGTGGCCAAGGTCCTGTGCATGGTGGGCGTGTTCTTCCTCATGCTGCTCGGCTCCCTGCTGCCCGTCAGGGTCATCCAGGCCGACTTCGAGAAGGCCCACCGCTCCAAGAAGGTCCTCTCTCTCTGCAACACCTTCGGAGGCGGGGTCTTCCTGGCCACCTGCTTTAACGCCCTGCTGCCCGCCGTGAGGGAGAAGGTAAGGACCCGTCGGGTGTGGCGCCTGCCCACGTGCCGCATGGCCTCTGGGCTCTGGTGGCCTCGACTTTCAGATGACAGGATGAGGGGCGTTTGCTGTGTGACCGTGGCGTGCTCAGCTCCCCTCTCTGGGCCTGGGGTTCCCAGCTGGGGGCTCATGGGCCGTGCCTGGTACGTGCCCTGCCCGGCGCCCACCGTCCTGAAGCTGGCAGGCGGGCTCTGTAACAAATGGCGACAACTCAGCATCTGTTTTAACTGCCAGAGGCCCGCGTGCTCACAGAGACAGAGCAGGAGCAAGCGCCCCCTTGGGGCGTGACGGGACCACAGCCCCTCTGCAGCTGTCCCTCCTGTCAGGGTCTCTTTCTTTTCTTCTTCTTTATCTTGTAAGAGATTTTTGTGGGACCAGCAGTTAGCGTAATGGCTGTGTCGCTGGACTCCCACGTAGTCGACCGCGGTTCTCATCCCAGACCCGGTGGCTTAAACTCCCGCTGGGCGCGTGTGCATGCGTGCCCAAGATCCTGAGAGGAGAATGGAGGAGAAGGGATTGCGGCCCAGCCATTCCCCCAGGGGGTGGCTCCTTGCTTTCTGCCTCTCTCTGTCTGTGTGGCAAGCACACGTGTCCTATAGCAAAAACCTCTAAAAAAAAAAAAAAAGAGATTTTTGCTAGAGGGTGCATGTGCTCGCCAGACAGAGAGAGACAGAAAGCAAGGAGCCACCCCCTGGGGGAATGGCTGCGCCGCAGTCCCTCCTCCACGCTCTGGGTGCGGGACTTGACCCGGGGCCGGCCGTGTGGGGGCCCAGCGGTGTAACATCACGTCCTCTGTCGGTCCTCTGAGTGCGCGTGTCTGTCAGTGACCGCGACCTCCCCAGCCTGGACCTCACGGCGGGTCAGCCGGGCGGGGGGCCGGTGCTGGGGGCCCCCCCCGCCTGTGTGCACCCCGCCCAGCTGCACAGGGTCCTGAGCCTCGGGCACGTGAGCAGCGACTACCCGCTGGCCGAGACCATCATGCTGCTGGGCTTCTTCGCGACCGTCTTCCTGGAGCAGCTGGTGCTGACCTTCCGCAAGGAGAGGCCGCCCTTCATTGACCTGGAGACCTTCAACGCCGGCTCGGACGCGGGCAGCGACTCCGAGTACGAGAGCCCGTTCGCGGGGGGCGCGCGGGGCCACGCGCTGTACGCGGAGCCACAGGCGCACGGCCCGGGCCTGAGCGTGCGGGAGCTGTCGCACGCCAGCCCGCTGCGCCTGCTCAGCCTGGTCTTCGCGCTCTCTGCCCACTCGGTCTTCGAGGGCCTGGCGCTGGGCCTGCAGGAGGAGGGCGAGAAGGTCGTCAGCCTGTTCGTGGGCGTGGCCGTGCACGAGACACTGGTGGCCGTGGCCCTGGGCATCAGCATGGCCCGGAGCTCCATGGCCCTGAGGGACGCGGCCAAGCTGGCTGTCACCGTGAGCGCCATGATCCCGCTGGGCATCGGGCTCGGCCTGGGCATCGAGAGCGCCCGGGGCGTGGCCGGCAGCGTGGCCTCGGTGCTGCTGCAGGGCCTGGCCGGCGGCACCTTCCTGTTCGTCACCTTCCTGGAGGTGCTGGCCAAGGAGCTGGAGGAGAAGAGCGACCGGCTGCTCAAGGTGCTCTTCCTGGTGCTGGGCTACGCCGTGCTGGCCGCCATGGTCTTCCTCAAGTGGTGAGTCCCCGCCTCTGCGGGAGCCGCCCCCGAGGAGGACGCCGCGACTGCTGTCAAAGTACCCCTGTTAAACGTCTTTACCAAAGCCGTGTGGCCGTCAGCCTCGGTCACTCGCCGGAGGTGGGGCCGGGCCCTCCCAGCCCCTGGGCGAGGACGAGGCTGCTCGGGGCACCGGCCGGGACCCTCGGGAGGCCCGGCCTCCACCCCTGTCCCTGCGCCGGGGCTGAGACCAGCCCACAGCAGCTCCCGGCCTGAAGGAAGTCCCCAGGTCATCGGAGGGCCGCACCCCTGTGGCCGGACACCATGGCACTTCCAGCAGACCTCCACAGTGGGGACCTCCTGCCATCGGCCGCACCGCAGGGCACAGGTGTGAGAACCCCGCCCCAGCTGGGCCTCCCTCACCCTCAGGGCAGCCTCCTCCCCTCTCCCTGGGGGCAGCTGTGCAGTGGGGCTAGGACCCCAGGCCTGTGTCGGGGTTCTCAGCGTTCCCAGAGGAGGACAGGCCCCTCAGACCCTGGGCAGAGCTGGCACCAGCGCTCTGGAGACCCCGCCGCTGTGGGCAGAGCAGGCATGCGCCCGGCCTCTGCCGTGTACCGTTGTCCCGGTAACCTCCTGCGGGGAGTGGGGATCCAGGGAGACACCGCCCCTCGGGGAGGGCGCTCCGCCTGGCTCAAAGCCACTCTCTCCAACTTGGCCACGGTGCCCCGGGCACCCTCCTCCCAGGGCCCAGGCTGCCCTGTGCTGGCTCTCACCTCCAGGAGGACGGGCTACAGCAGGGCAGACCTGACTGAGCTCCCAACAAGGAGGGACCCCCCCCGGTGCAGCCCGTGCTTCGGGGGTGCCCTGTCCATCTCGGGAAGTCTGCGTTCCGGGACCAGCTGACGACTTCCCCAGAGGGGGCGCCGGGGTTGGTCAGGCTCCACCCCCGCTCAGGTGGCCAGGCCCCTGGTGTAGCTGTGGAATCTCTGGAAATGGGCGTCACCCCCTCCTGGAGCCCAGCAGGTGTCCAGGCCCCCAGCCTCTGCTCTGGCCGGCCCCACCTGTCATTGGAAGTTGGGCCTGTTTCTAGAACCTTCCACCTGTGCACTGCGTGTCGTAGGCCCAGCCCTGTGGGTGGGGGACCGTCTCCCCCCCCCCCCCCCCCCCCCTGCCGGCAGGTGTGGCTGGTCCCGTCCCTGCCGGGCTGGCCTTCATGGAGCTGCGAGACCGGCTGGGGAGGACTCAGGGATGCAGGCCGGGAGGGGCGGGCGTCTGGGCCCCCACCCAGAACCAGGTGGGAGCGGAGAGTCTGCTGGACCCAGCACCCTGCTCCGCCCCATCCCTGCCGAGGCCGCCGCGTGGGTCTCCCCCTCAGCCTCCCGGCAGTGGGGGGGCACAGCCAGCCGATTGGCCAACCCCCTGAGGTCCCCATCCTGCCGCCCTCCCCACGAAGGATCCCTGGAGACCGCGGCATCCCCAAGGGCACAGCCCACAGCCAAGCCACCAGGGAAACTCAGCCCCGCCAGCCACCGTGCCCCCAAGACCCCCTGCCCCCTCCACAGTGAGGGGTGAGGGGTCACAGGGCCCTGAGTGCAGATGTGCACTGCAGCCCCCGCCCCACCCTCCTCCCCGGGGGCCCTTGGCCCAGGCCACCATGCCCTGCCTGCTGTGGTTAGCCCTGGGGGACAGGGAGACACGGCCCATGGGAGTAGGGGACAGGAGGCTCTCGGGGCCCCTCGGTCAGCTTTCCCTGCGTGTGGCGACGTCGGGGTGCCTGGGACACAGCGACCAGCTCTCCCGCCGACAGGCCAGACGCCAGTATTGTGACCTCCGGGGTCTCCTGGGTCCCACTCCGCCCATGGGTCTGGACACGTGTGCGCCCTCCACGTGCGGGGACCAGCCCGCCCCAGAGCTGTGCAGACGGCCCCAGCCCTGGAGTGCGTCCTCTGCAGCAGCCCCGCCTTCCCTCGGCATCTCAGGCTGATTCTGCCCCAGGGGACGCCCGGCGGTATCTGCGGGCACAACTGGGGGTGCTCCTGGCATGGAGTAGGGGGCTAGGGACGCTGCTCAGCACCTGCAGGGCCCAGGCGACCCCAGAAGATGAACTTACAGGAGGGTCAGGGCAGGCGGTGATGGCCTGAGTGGATGGGCCAGCCCGTGCAAGAGAGACAGACAGACAGACGGAGCAGAAGGACCCGACTGCTCACCACGCCGGAGGGTCTGCACCCGCCCGGACAGCACAGCCGGCTGTGTGGACACCAAGCACGTGCCACCCTCGTCTGGAGGCCGCCTGCCCGGCTGGCCACGGCCGTCCTCCCACCAGCGTGGCCTGGGCTGTCGACCGGTCCAGCGGGTCGCTGCTCGGGAGAAGGCCCCGGGCAGGCTTTTCACAGCCAGTCTGCAGCCAGGGACAGCCTCGGCGGGGAGGCCGGGCCTCGGCGCCCTCCGCAGCCTGGAGCCACCAGCCCCCACCGCAGACGGGGATGTGGCGGCACCGCTGCACGGAGTCAGCCCTAATAACAGCGTGCCGCTCTCTGTTGTCCCTTGTTTGCGTTCCTGGCGGAGACGGTATTAGCGTGGGGCGGAGACGGCGAGCTCAGATCCCAGCTCCTCTGTGTTTGGGGGTATTTCGGGGCGTAGAGAAGCTGGTGGGCGAGAGGATGGCTCGCAGCATGGTGCTCTGGGCATGCCCCGGCCACCAGCTGCAGACCCCTGCCCTGAAGGGAGGAGAGGGACTGGGCCCCACCACAATCAGCTAGAAACAAAGCCAGTGACAGGCCTGTCACCTGTTGTCACTTCACTGTCCTTCGCTGTGCAGGCGGGGAGGGGTCAAGGTCCCCAGGACACATAAAGGTCCCCCCACTTGGGTGGGGCACTGCAGGGTGTGGGGCCTCGCCCACCAAGACCCTAGAACTCTTCTGGCTGGTGGGGTGCTGTGGCCCCCCCGAGGCAGGGTGGGGGGCCTCGCCCACCAAGACCCTAGAACTCTTCTGGCTGGTGGGGTGCTGTGGCCCCCCCGAGGGGCTGCAGAGGAGGCAGTGGGATTGGCCACCCACCCACCCGCCCATCTGGCTGCTTGGTGCAGGGAGGCAGCTGCCCAGCTGCTGAGCAAACTCAGGCCAGACAGTGGCCCCAGGACAGGGACTCCCCAGCCCCGCTGGCCTCAGGCCTTCCTGTGCATTCAGGGTGCATTTCTGCCAAGGCCGGGGGGTGTAGATTGCCGGGCCGGGGATGTGGTTTGAGACCCCTTGGCCTGCTCCAGTGTCCCCCCCAGCACTGTGGACATCCCTGTGGGGTGTCCTGGACCCTGAGGTGCTGAGCAGTGTCCTGGCGCCCCCACTCCCTGCCAGCAGACCCCTAGCGGTGACAGCCACAAATGCCCCAGGCGTTGCCGAGGGTCCTGGGGGTGACCCCACCTGCCCTAGAACTCAGGTGGCGCTCTCCCGGTGAGAGGCCGATGGCATGTGACCATGCAGTGTGACAGCGGGGACAGCGCCAGTCTGCCCTGAAAGCCAGCCGAGGAGAGGGCAGAGGCACCTGCTTTAGCTGCTAAGGCGGGCAGGCCGTCC